GAATGTGTAGAAGCGATGCAGAATTCTTGACATAGTCTTAAATAATATAACTATCATAAAACAACAATATTTATGAACATAGAAGTTTTGAGTGAATATGGGCACATGTGTCTTTAAGAGGGGTAAATATGAAAAGATTGAGTGATGTTGGTTTGTCGAATGCGAATTCAAAAGTGGCAACTAATGTAAACGGGTCTAAATGGTGTCCCGACCTACTAAACGCTTAACCATTGTCGTCTCTCCAAACCTTCCACCGGACTCGACAACCGCTTAACCTTCTCCACTTATATTGTTACGCAAAGCAATTTTTGGATGGATAAATATGGAAATGTTGAGTGTCCTTGCTTGGAGAGCTGACTGGTGGGTTATGTAGCTTCTTTAACAGTAACGTGTGATCACTTAACATCAGTTCATTTGGTTGATCTTCTAGGTTGACTTTTGAGTTGAATAAAGATAAACAGTGTCCTGGGCTCCCGGCCTACTAAACGCTCAACCATCGCCGTCTCTCCAAACTTTCACATCTGACTCGACAACCGCCTAACCTCCTCCACCTACATTGTTACGTAAAGCAATTTTCGGAGAGGTAAATATGGAAAGGTTGGGTGTTCTTGCTTGGAGAGTTGAATGATGGGTTATTTAGTTTCTTTGACAGTAATGTGTGATCTCTTAACATCAGTTCATTTGGTTAATCTTCTAGGTTGACTTTTGAGTTGATTAAAGATAAATAGCTATACTTTTTGTTGCTTTTGTTATGATACTCCTTTTTAGTATCATCATTTTTCTAATTTGAAATGTTTTTGTGGTTAGTTTCCAGTAAACAAAGACTATTCTGATTAGTCTTCACATAGAGAATAGCTTCAATCATACCACTTTTACACAAAATTTATATGTAAGAGCTGAGATCATTGCCAAATTGAACTATTCAAGCTATAATGCTTATCTTCAACATATAAAGCATGGTTTCTTTTGAGTGAAATAACCTCATGATTGCATATAAGTTTTTATAATACGATGTTTTGTGATTGTGGTCACTTGCTTCCAGATTTAAAAGTGGGTTCTAATTACTACAATATAAATAGTACGAGTGATAACGATAATTGGAGCAGATACAAGATGGTTTGATATCCTTCTCTCCGCAAGGAATAAATACATGGTGAACATATGTTGTCATGGGAAGGACAAACTGAACTCTTTGTGTTTGTAGTATAGCATGTTGATATATACGCATGTCTAGACCCGATCGATTGGACATCTCCACCTGGAATTTATTGACGGGAAGAAAGAGGAAGGGAAAGGGGGAGATTGGTGAGATACAAAGCTCAGAGAGAGAGATGAAAGAACAAAACGGAAAAAGAAAGAGGGGAAAACAAGAGGAAGGCAAAGAGAGAGTGAGATTACACATTTAAAAGATGGGGAAAATGAGGTGTTGTGAAATAATTGTTTTTCTGCTTTGCTTAGTGAGTATTGTTGGCCCTATTCTGTTGAGTTTTGATTTATTTTAGGGGAAAAATTATATTTGATAGATTTTTTCCATTGCAATTTAAAATCCTAAATCAATATTATTGTTTTGATGATTTTTTCTTAATACGATTATTGTAATTTATGAGATTTAAGGGGGTATTCGATAATGTCAATATTTCAGTGATTTTTTATTTAAATTTTTTGAATTAAAAGATCGTATGTACTGGCTGTTCGACCATAAAACTTCACATCATAGGCTAAATCGGTAGGTGACATTTAGCAATACGAAAGGTTGAACCACGGTTAAATTATGACTTCTATATAAAATACTCTACCACCAACTTTTTCGATACGATTTTACAATCGTTGGTTCAAACAATTCTTTTACTTTGGTGGAAACAAAAAGTTAAAAGACACATTTTGAACTATCTATTGCAAAAAAACATAAGTCAGTTAGCGATAATGCATAATTCAACCCAAAAGGCACTTTGCAATTTCTATCTTTTTAAAATAAATGTATACTACTCATATTGCTCATTCATCAACTTAACGAGTAACATATATCTCATAGGTTTTATTTATTTAATTATTACATGAAAAATATTGTTGCATAAAAATTACTACTTTGTTGCTAGACATGTATGCAATATGAGAATAATTTGGGAAGTCCGTACACAACACATTGTCCAACTAATTATTAGTGACAACTTAGAAACATGTATTATATACTTCAAATCAATCAACTTTGGATTCATAACCAACGGTGTGGTAAAAAAAATGCTCTCTATTGGAAAAAACTTAAAGAACATACTGAATTCTATGATATACATTTTCTTTCATCCTAAAGGTTGATTATGTATGTATTATGAGAAGCAACTCTAATATTCAACTATTTTGTTTAGTTAAGTATTTAAATGGAAATTAGTTATAATTATTTCTTTTTTCATTTAATAATTATATGCAATTTCTCTTATCATAAAGATCTAAACACATTTTGCATAGTTAGATAATTTAAAAAAATGTTATGTGCATAACTAAGGTACAAAATATTCATTTCATTCATTTCAAAACATCTATTATATTCAATAGTATATACCATATTTCTCAGGGGGAAAAATTCCGACCAACGGGTCGGGTCCTATGCTAGTATATAAATAAAGAAAAAGAAACAAAAGAGGCTCAAATCAAGAGGAAGGAGTCAGAGTTGGAGTTCAGCGTGTGAACTGGTGGGGATAGCTCCATTGTGTCCTTACTCCATAATCACCAATCCGTTCATCGACATTTCAGCAGGAGGTGATTCGATTAGGGATGGCAACAAAACCCGAATTCACGGGTATCCACCCGACCCAATCCGGTCAATGCGGGTAAAATTCGTGTTGACGGGTTTTGGGTCTGGTTTGGGTTTAAACCCGTTCACTATTCATCGGGTTGGGTTGGGTTTGAGTTTAGATAAACCCGACCCATAGGTACCCGTCCACATCCATATAATTAATTTTTCGGTATATTTAATATTCTAAACAACTAATCTTATTTATGTTTGTGGAGACATGTCTAATTTTTTCTTTCTAATTGTGTAGAATGAAGTTGATGTTATTGAGTGGAGAGTGAAGAAACTTAATTGAAAGGAAGAACCTTTCAATTAATCATGTTATTTATGGATAGTTTATGATTTGCTTCAATTTTCTTGAGTTTTCTAGATTGATGTTGAACAATTTGTATAGTTAATTTGTGATTTGCTTGAATATTCTAAAATGGTGTTTTATATATGGATAGTTTGTGTTGAGAGATTGATATTTGACTTTAATTTTGATAGGAACTTGTTATTGTAAATGTTTACGACAAAAACCCGTGGGTACCCATGAACCCGCGGATACCCAGCAGGTTGGGTTGGGTTTGAGTTTTTCAAACCCCATGGGTTTTACCCGGGTTTTTTTTTTCACGGATAAACCCATGGTTTGGGTTTGGCAAAACCCAACCCAACCCGACCCATTACCATCCCTAAATTCGACCATGCTCACATCCTTCAGGTTCCCTCTCCCCAGCCTATAGTACTCTTCTGCTTTTCTTTGAGCTTGAGAGCAGAAGTCTTCAATAGCTTTCGAAGTGACCGGAAAGGAGACAATATGATAGGTGCCCTATTAATTAACCTTAATAGGAGTATCATGTTAATTTATTCAAATATGTTGAATTGTAAAGTTTTTAAAAACCATATAGGTATCAAACTTATGCTTTTTAAGTTTTAACAAAGATTACATGATTTCCAAAATACATGGACTATACGAGAAAATTATGGGGCCGTTTGGATGAAGGTTTGTAGTGAGTGATTTGTGAGGAATTTTAAAACAATCTCTCATTATGCAGGATTTTAATACAATCATGTGTTTGGGAGGATAAGAGATTGTAAGCATAAGTGATTTTCAAATCTCTCAGATGCAAGTTTTTAAAATAGCTAATAGGGACCAGCTATTTCACAATCTCTCATTTTTACCTCATCTTTTCCAAGTTGTGCCCTCAAGCCTCCCATGTTTAGTCGTTTCTTTCCTTCTTCCTTTTTTTTACGCCAACAGCTCTCCTCCTCCCACCTCTGCGACACAACCCTCCACCGCCCAAACTCATTCTGCTCACACTCCTCCGCCTAAACCACCCGATTTATTTTGTGTTCTTCTTTCTCAACCTATCTACCACCAGAAGTCAAAAGGGAAGAACGAAGAAGGTAGACTGACGAGAACATCCATGACGATTGGTTCGGTCGATGACTCGAGGGCTGACGAAGATTGCAGCAGGGCCGATTAGTGGTGGCATCGCCCTCCTATCCCGGTCCAAATCCCTTTCGTTATCGGCCGCTGCGTCGTCGGATATATGGGTTTGCGGCAAGGTAGATTGAAGGTCGCATCGCCCTCCTCTCCCATTCCAAATCCCTTTCGTTTCCGTTCGTTGCCTCACCGGAGATCTGGGTTTACAATCTAGTGGCGATGGCGATTCTAGGTTTGCTACCTAGCGTCGATTTCCCTCTAATTCAGGTTCTGCTTGCCGCCGACTATTGAGAATTCAGGAAGGCTCTTTTGTGATGTTAATATGTTATTGATAATGGTTGGAGCAGGAGGAGCCGCAAATTGGGAATGGAATTGGAATTTGCAGGTTTTAATTTAAGGGTTAATAATGTAAATTTGGGTTCCAAGTTAAAATTCTGCATCTCAATCCAAACAAGTTATTTTGAACAAATCCCACATTTAAATTTCCTAGTATTTTAAATGAGAGATTTGAATCTAAATCCCTCATTATTAAAATTCCTCATCCAAACGACCCCTATGGGGATTCCGAACTATTCATTCTTCCCAAGATTGGGCCAGTGGGCCCACAAGTCCAACCTTCCGATACGGGCTGAACAATTTATTATAAGCCTGGCCCAGCTCAACTACCTCAGTAAACCATTGAAAATGAGAACAGTTCCGGAGAAAAATGACAAAAAAATAAAAGGAAGAGTTCCGGAAAAGCTTTTTCTTCCGTCTTTTGTCTTTCTCCATTCTCTGTTTCTCATACTCTCTAGTATCTCGCCCACAATAAAGTGGCGCCAAATGCAAAATTACTCCAAATTAACCGAATCTAGAGATCCATGGCGAATTCACAGTCGAATTCCAGAGTCTTCAGCGTCCGAATCGTGTCAATCGATTACTATATGTCCTCGCCTCTCCCTGGAGTCGATATTTGCTACAGTAGCTTTCAAGGTATTGGACGGAGTCTTCGTGACTCGTTTTAATTGACTGCTCCTAATTTCCGTCTCTTGGTTCCTCTGGATTTTCCCGGAAACCAAACAGTAGTAGTCTTGTTGTTCTGAAGTTCAATCTGTTAAATTTTGAGCATTTTTCTTTTGTGTATGTGGTAAAGGCGGGAAAGTGAACGAGGTTCCAGTTATACGCGTTTATGGCTCAACTCCAGCAGGACAGAAGACCTGCTTGCACATTCATGGCGTAAGTAGAGCTACCCACTTCTGGTTCCTGTTTACAGAGTGTTCGATTTGTTCTTCTTCTTTGAATAATGGAATCCTAGTTCATTTTTCTCTTGGTTATGACAAAGAATGATTTATTGCATCTCAATTGTGTAGGCTTTTCCCTATTTATACGTCCCTTGTTCGGATATCCCACTTTATCCACGGCTAGAAGGTATGAAGCTCACTGAACATAGCTTTGCCAAATTCAGACCATTCTAAAATATTCCAACCGGTGAAAGCTTTACTTTGCTTCTTTCGGTTTAGGGGATGCATACATAAGCGCCATATCTCTTGCCCTTGAGAAGGCCTTGAAGGTAAGCTTACTGGCTCCCTCTTGCTAGTGGATTTGAATTTCTTTTTGTAGCTGTGAATGATGTTGGTGCTTTGAGATGTGATTCACATGTATATGTGGTTTGACATCACAGCATAAAGGTAATGCGGGTTCGAAAAGGCAGCATGTGCATGGATGCACTCTTGTGCGAGCAAAGAGGTTTTATGGCTACCATGCGTCCGAGGAGATGTTTGTCAAGATATACCTGTATCCTATTTCATGTATTATTGGTTGTCATTTTGTAGCAACATTACTTTTTTAGTTTTCTGGATTATTCTCTTGTGACTCCTTAACAATAGAATAGCTACTACCCACATGACGTGACTCGTGCTGCTAGTCTTCTTCTGGTATCCTCCTTCCTCATAATAATTTCCCCTTGCCGTTGCACTCTTTTCTATATGAATTATTATACTTAGACAGAAGAGAAATGTACTTATGATGAGGCCCATTCCATGCTACAGGGAGGAGCAATTCTTGACAAAAGCTTGCAGCCTCATGAGTCTCATATTCCTTTTATTCTCCAGTTTCTGGTAAATATTGTTTCACAATAGTAGTTAATAATTGAAGAATTTGACCCCCACTATTGAACTGATCTGACTCTTATATAGCGCTTGTGGTTGATGGTGGTGCTCTGATTCTAGGTTTCCAGGCAAAACTGTTGGTTTATATTGATCCTTAGTTCTTGGTGCCAATGGATAGAACTTACTGCTGAATTGTTGTTAAGAAAGTTCTGCCATAGGTTGATGATTGTATTGGGTTCGAAATCTACATGTGGCATGAATCGAACTTGTTCGTTAGCTGTAAACTCATTGAGAATTATACACTCAATGTAGGTTGACTGTAATTTATATGGAATGGGGCATGTGCATGTATCAAAAGTGAAGTTTCGTCATCCGGTTCCAGATGCTTTCAGTAAAAGAAAATCTAATCACCTTTCTCAAGCCAGCATTGAGACGGAAGAAACTATAACTGCATTACGTGATAGTCAGGTATGTGTCCATTTTTCTCTGGGATATTCTCTTGTGCAATGAACATCAGTATTTGTCATTCCCACTCATACTGCTTTGATCTTGGTCATATATTCACTAGACAGACTTGAAAAATAGTCAGCATTTGGATTCTCCAGTTTGGATATCGTCCACGATCCCTGGTGATTGGATATGGCAGCTTTCCAATGAATTTGGCACTCCATCTGATCTGTATACTCACCATGTCAAAAGACAAACTGTTTGTGCGCTGGAAGCAGATACTAGTGTTGATGGTTATCTCCTCACCTCTGTTATTTAGAATGAGAAGTTGTGTTCATATATAAACACTGAACATTTTGACAACCTGCAGATATTCTTAATCAGCAATTCAAGTTATATACATCCTTATCACAATCAGGTTCAGAAGTGAAAATGGTTCAGTCACTCATACCTATCTGGGAGGTTTGTTTTGCATCAATTTTGTTCTTTGCAACCCTAGGTCGTGTTTCATATATGCCAGCTGTTTTATGCACTGTATGCTCATTACAGGAAGAATATGAAAGAACTGGCACGGATGAGGTAGCTATGCCTCCTGATCCTGGAAAACCACTTCCGAGAGATGTTTTAAATGCACTATCACATAAGCTTAACAAAAGATTGGAGAAGTTGACATGTAAAGCTCAAGACAACAAAATGTTGGTCAAGAATACTGTGGAAGATCTTCCTTTGGAGACAGTTTCTGTGAATGAAGAAAAAATGGTTGAACTTGGTAACTCGGATGGCCATGATACTGTGGATGATAATTCCAAGCTTGGCATTACCCAAGAAAGCGTCAAACTGTTATCTCCGCAAGATTCAAAGTGTCTAGAAGAACTCTGCCAAACACCCACAGAAAGAAAGTATGGATGCCGACCACTATCAGCCAATAATGAGCAATCACTAGAAGTAAATTGCCTCGTACCTGGGGTGAGCTTGCTCTTTATGATAATCTCTTCCTGCAGAATTTCATTTGATTTTGTTTAGTCGCCGTGCCTGGTTTACTGAGTTCTATTTTCCAGCCTGCAACGAAGTAGATATAATAGAAGTCTGTTTTGCAACCATGTCAGGGGCTATTTCTTTCCCAGGTTTCAGATACAGAAGCTCTGGGCCTGCTAAAGTGGCTTGCCACATCACAGGCTGCTGAAGAGATAAACTCTGACGATGAACTTGTTCGTGAGACCATTCTGAGTCCTCTTTTGCCTACAACAAACATTGATAAGGTGCTAGAAAGAGCGAGTACGGATTATGAGAGCGAGTCCCAGAGAGAGTGTCAGGATATTCTTGATTCCATTGAGGATTTTGTTAAATGTGATGAGTCAAAGGTGAAACTTCCTTATTCGTTGGAGCTTAACCGTTGCTCCTCATCGGAAGAAAAGATGTCCAAGGTTAATGCTTTGCATTCACCTGCTTCTGCACCATCTAAACTGTCATCTAAGACACAGAAAAGAGGAGCATCTGAAACATACTCCGGGCGCAAGGAATTGCAGATTAGCCACACCAGTTTGACGAATAAAAGGAAGAAGTCTTTATGGGGCACTCTGCCGTTCTCAGTTACTAAAACTTCAAGTGACATCTCTAAAATACATAGCATATCTGATCTGTCTGGTGGTGACAATAATCCTGAAAAGGCTCTAAGAAGATGTTCTGACGTTTCTTTACGGAATTCAGAAGCTAATGTCCAAGCACAGGCATTGGACGAATGCTCAGTGCGGGACCTGATGCGAAAGAAGCGCTCCAATCAAACTGCCCTGCAGAAGTGTCCACTCTTAGGGATTGGTGAAGGCTTTCTGGAAAGAGTACATGAAGGAGTTGGCACACCTTTGACTAAACAATTGGATTCGCAAATACAGCCCAATGAAAATGAAGAACACAATAAGAGTTCTGTTAGGCGTCCGGATGCTAGTTTGCTGGTTCCAAAAAAACTAGAGAATAGCCAGCCGGATATTGGAAATCCTATAGTAGTAGATTCAGACAGCCCCAGTATGCAACATGCTTCCAACAGCGTCAAGCAGGTTCCAACAGGTTTCCAGTTTCAATCCGAAACTAAGAACTGTGAAAAGTATATGTGCAGAGGTGAGACCTCAGAAGTCATAGCTTCTGAGCTCTTCAATTCCATATCTGTTTCATCTGCTAAGTGGCTGAATAAGGATACAACTCCGTCTAATCAGAGACCAAACCAGATGAAGGCTAAGGCTGTTGGTTCAAGTTGTCTGCGGGTTTCTCCTATTGAGTCTGAGGATGCAGGCTCAACGAAAGGTGGAACACCGATGGGAAATTCGTTTGAACAATGTGCTGACAAGGTAATTTCGAAGGAAAAGTTGGCAGATACAACATGCTTCTTGTCCGAGGCAGTTTGTTCTGCTCGCTCAAAACGTGGAAATTTCGGTGTTTCTGCTCATGGCAGCTCAGCATTCACAGCTCTTAACATTGAAACAAAGCCTACAGACTTATATAGAATGACAGTCCGTAAGAAACCTCCTGTACCTGACTGGAAGGATGGACCATTGGAAATTGCTTCTTTCTCGCTTGCTTTATCTGGTGCTCCTTCTATTGTCAAGGAGAAAAAAGATGGGATATCAGGTTTGCATACTCATTTATCCGATGGAATTTTTTACTCCACATTTGCATATATTACTTCAGAACCAGTTCATATTATTTTGGATGGAAGGTTGAAAGGTGCTGTTGGAATTTATGTAAAAATCATTTCCCATGTGGGAGTGGGATGAATTTTTGTAGCCTTTTCTCTCTCTGATCATTGTCTTAGGTGGTGACTGGCTTGTCAAGGAATTTGTTTGTATTGAGTTACCAGTAACTGTGCTTTCTTTTTTCCCTTCCATGTGTGAGTGCAGTGGATGAACTTCTTCCTTTCTTTGAAAATAGTCATCAGAACAAGACAGGAGATCAGTCTCATAGGGATAAGGATGTTGATCAAGAAGCTGCAGTAGGCGTCCCAGCTCACTTTCAGAATGATGGCTCAATCTTGTATCTTTTAACACCTGTCTTTTCACCACCTTCCCCAGATGTTGTTTGTCGATGGTTGATGTGTAAGAGCGCAGGTATGACCTAGTTTTAGTATTTGCATTAGTTTCTGCACAAGCATGTGAGGATACTTCCAATTGTTTCATCTAAATAACTAACTTCCAATTCCAGATAGTCTGCTAAAAATCACCCCACCTTCAACAAAGTGTTTTTCTATTTACTTCTCCCTGATCTCTACTTGTTTTGCAGGGTTTTCCGAGAATAGTCCAAAAGCCATTTCAGCTGTTGATGCTACTGAGCTTCTGATTCAATCTAAATCTTCATCTAATTCAACCTCCTCACCCGCTCAAATACGCGAAGAAACAACCGAGAACCTTGATATTGAATGTCTTCCCCATCAAGAGAAGCTTCAACAGTTATCTCAGAGTGAAGGAAACATGCGTGATGCATCTCAAATATCTGGACCTGATGGTGGATCAGGACCTACTCCTCTCAGCCAAATGGGATTTCGGGATCCTGCTAGTATTGGTGCTGGACAACAGCTTACATTATTAAGTCTGGAGGTACAACAACATTGTATCATTTTTGCACTTTTATCTCTCTCCTCTTTGACCTCGTTAGAACACCTATGTAGTGTTTGACTTGATTTCGACAAGACAAAAACCGTAGTGTTTGATGTTGCAGTTGATTTCACCTCATGTATTCTGGTGATAACTTGTAGTAACACCATCTAGTCTCTAACTGCATCGAAGCAAGAGCTTGATAAGAATTACTATCGGATTACAGGTTCAGGCTGAATCCAGGGGAGATCTCAGGCCAGATCCTCGGTTTGATGCAGTGAATATAGTAGTGCTTGCCTTTCAGGATGACAATGACTGTGCTTCGGAAGTTTACGTGCTTCTACGTAGTGATTGTGAATCATCCCAGGGGTATGAATTTATGTTTTATGCTCTGTGCTGGAAAGTTGAATATGCTCCATTCAGTAATGTTGACATTTATCAAGGGGCTGATGGAAATCGAAGAAAGAAATGGAATTATTTTGGCATTTTATGATTGAATGTGGAGATTTATGATGGCTTTACATATTCTTTACTGAGCTGTCGAGTAAGCTCTTGCGCAGAATGTCATCACATTTGAATCCAGTTGGTTGACTTTGGAGAGAAACTAATATGGATTATCTAGTTAAACCCCTTCTAGTAAGTTTCTTCAACTAGTATTCTGCACCAAATAGTTCTTCTCATGTCTCGTTTGTATCTTATATTGCAGGCATTCTGTTGGAATACCTGCTCATAAGGTCCTAGTGTTCTTTGAAGAGAAGCTTTTATTTAATGAACTTATTAATCTTGTCCGTATGTTTGACCCCGATGTTCTTATGGGATGGGATATTCAAAGTGGTTCTATTGGTTTTTTGGCTGAGCGGGCTGCACATCTTGGTCTGGGTTTTCTTAAGAGCATTTCTCGCACACCATTTCAAACAGAGCAAGATGCAGATACTGAAGCTGCTAATAAAGGTCTTATGGATATTGCACTCCACGAATCTTCAACTGCAGACAATGAATTGATGGGAGATGCAGTAATTGAGGATGAGTGGGGCCGGACACATGCCAGTGGTGTCCATGTTGTTGGTAGGATTGTCCTTAATGTATGGCGACTGGTACGGAGTGAGGTCAAGCTCAATATGTACACGATTGAAGCTGTAAGTGAAGCTGTTTTGAGGCGGAAGACTCCTTCTATCCCATTTAGAGTACTGACTAGATGGTTTGCTAGTGGCCCCGGTGGAGGAAGGTATAGATGCATTGAGTTTGTGATGCAGAGAGCAAACTTGAATTTCGAGATTGTGGAACAACTTGATATGGTACGTTAGTTAGGAGTCTAACTATCATATTTAAAAGCTTCATCTAAAACAGAAAAAAGTATCATCTTTAAAAAGATGATGATATGGGCTGCCTATGTAGGTGGAAAAGGAAATTTTTGTTTCTCCAACTTTCCTGAAGTTAAGACTTGTATACTTTATGTGTGTCTGTTTTGTTTCTATAGTTTATAGTTTTGCTTTCCAATCAACGGTTCTTCAATGACAAAAGCCTCTGAGAAGCTGATTTCTTTTCTGTAATGTTATGTCCTTTTGCTTCCTTTTCCCGCCTTCGATTTTTTTGGGAATCACCTCCTTTTGTTGTTTCGACCGCTCAGTCTTTCCAAACCAAATGTGAATCATATGTCGTGAACATTTAAGATCTTGAGGGCCCTGTCTGTTTCTGTAGTGAGCTTATCATAACCTGATTTAAGTTTTGGACTTGAAGATATATTATTTTCAGCCAGTGATGCTATTTGTGCTTCTTCCGGCCCCTTGACTTTGCTGCAATTATTTCAGGTGAATCGGACCTCAGAACTTGCACGTGTTTTTGGCATTGACTTCTTTTCTGTCCTCTCTCGTGGTTCACAGTACCGTGTTGAGTCCATGCTCCTCAGATTGGCTCATACACAAAATTATATTGCCATTTCTCCTGGGAGTCAGCAGGTTGTTTCTGATAGTTGCTATTTGTTTTCTTTTGTATTCCGAAGAGTCATTCTTTACTTTTTCCTGTTCAGCAGAGATTTTAAAGCTCCGCTTTGTTTGTTTTGTGGCCTCGAACTCTCTCTCCTTGCTTTTATCTGCCAAGCCATGGCAGCCTGAAGGAATTTATTATGTGCTCACAGGTTGCTTCTCAACCAGCCATGGAGTGTCTCCCTCTTGTAATGGAACCAGAATCAGGGTTTTATGCAGATCCAGTGGTGGTCTTAGACTTCCAATCTCTTTATCCATCCATGATAATTGCTTATAACCTTTGCTTCTGTACGTGTCTTGGAAATGCCGAGCCTTCGAAGGCAGATACCCTGGGGGTCACTTCATTTTCACCAGATCCAGAGATTTTTCAGAATTTGGTGAATCAACTGCTTTGTACTCCTAATAGTGTTATGTATGCACCTTCAGAGGTAGTATATTTGGATATACCTAGTTTATGCTGTTGCTTTCTGCAAAATTGAATAGTGAAAATATGAAAGTATGATACTTTCTCTTACCAGGTTCGGAAAGGAATATTACCCCGGTTATTAGAGGAAATACTATCAACCAGGATAATGGTGAAGAAAGCGATGAAGAAGTTGGGTCCCAATCAACAAATCCTTCACAGGGTATGTTTATACTTTGACTAATGAATATTTCTGCTCTCACGTTTTAAGATGTTATTGGTGTCTTCTCTCTGAAGCAGTGACACCTTCAAAGTTTACAGTTCTGAAGAGTTACTGGAGTCTAGAATAGACAGGAAGAAGACAGCATAGTTATATAGGCACTCCTTGTCCTAACAGTCTAATTTGTATAATAGACAAATCCCTGATTAGGGACTTTGGAATGGATGATTTCATCAGGTCGTAGAGGTGACAAATGGTTTGGTTAAAATGGCTTTGCGGGTTCATGGGGTCGGTTAAAATGGGATCATGCTGCCCTGGGAATGGCACTCCCTTGATAATAATACTATAGGTACTATATGATAATTGCTCGGAAACCCATCTAAAATATTCACAAGCAAAGAGATAGCTCAGGTCAAACGGGTTTTGACCTGGGTTTTGGTGGCATTTGTCACCTCTTACATGTCGTGCTTGAAAGTAATCATTGACTTTCCAATCTGCATACTTTTTCTCCAGATATTTAATGCAAGACAACTTGCTCTCAAGTTGATAGCAAACGTAACATATGGTTACACAGCTGCTGGATTTAGTGGTCGCATGCCTTGTGCCGAGCTTGCCGACAGCATTGTCCAGTGTGGCCGTAGCACTCTGGAAAAGGCTATTGCATTAGTAAATGCAAATGATAATTGGAAGGCTAGAGTCGTATATGGTGATACTGACAGGTAACTTGCTTCATCCTGAATTGGCATGAATATAGGAAAGGATTAGAGTGCACTTCTTGCAAGCTACGGCGAATTTGATCTAGCTTGTCTTAAATTCATATCTCTTTGCGTGTGAGCTTCTTAGACTGCTTCAGTATTACTCCTTCGCCAGTCGCATAATTACTGGATATATACATGGATTTTAGGTGTCCAGTTATTTCTCTCATAATATATTGCACATTTTGCTACGAGTTCTGTTCCTTTCTCATCCATCCAAAATTTGCTCACTTTGCATTGTGTCCACCTTGTATTAATGTCCATTTCCGCTGCAGCATGTTCGTTCTTCTCAAGGGACGAACAGTCCCAGAGGCATTCCGGATTGGGAATGAGATAGCAGCGGCCGTGAGTGCTATGAACCCATACCCAGTAACCTTAAAAATGGAGAAAGTATATCACCCTTGCTTCCTTCTCACCAAGAAGCGCTACGTCGGATACAGCTATGAGAGACCCGACCAGAGCGAGCCGATCTTTGATGCAAAAGGGATTGAGACAGTTCGAAGAGACTCATGTGCAGCTGTTTCCAAGCTCATGGAGCGATCCATTAGGCACTTCTTTGAGCACCAAGACATCTCTAAGGTAGTGTACTCTCGCTACTCTATTTTACCCTCTGAAAGATGAATGCATTTTTGGACAGTACAATGCATCACAAGATGACCCGAAATACATGCATCAGATCAGGCATGCATTTGAAATGTGTGGATCACATAAATTGGTTGATAGAGTGGACTGTCTGAATGTTGTGACCGTCTGGAACCTGTTTTCCATCTGTTCAATCCACTTATATCAAATCCATTAATTCCACGCATTCCTCAATTACACATATTAAAACAACATCACAGGCTGCAAATGACTCCTGCAATACACTGTTGATTCTGAAGACCTTGCAGCATCTGTTACTCAACTCAGCAGTTTTAAGTCTTCCTTCCTTTCTGAATTAGTTTCAACTCTCCATTTATATGCAGGTTAAAGTATATCTATATCGTCAATGGACCCGTATCCTCTCTGGCAGAGTCTCCCTCCAAGACTTCATCTTCGCCAAAGAGGTCCGATTAGGCTCGTACAGTACTCGACCTTCTTCCTCCCTTCCACCCGCAGCCATAGTAGCCACCAAGGCAATGAGGTCGGACCCAAGAGCCGAGCCACGCTATGCTGAGCGGGTCCCTTATGTCGTGATTCATGGCCAGCCAGGTGGTCGCCTGGTTGACATGGTGGTTGACCCACTTGACCTCCTGGCTCTTGGCTCCCCCTACCGACTGAACGACATTTACTACATCACGAAGCAGATCATCCCGGCCTTGCAGAGGGTGTTCGGGCTGGTTGGCGCAGATTTGAACCGGTGGTTTGCCGAGATGCCTCGTCCAGCTAGGGAAGCCTCAACCAAGCGACCAGTTTTTGGTTCAAGCAGTAACCCGCACAGGACCAGGATCGACTATTATTATCTGTCCCAGCATTGCTTGATCTGCGGGGATTTGGTTCGTTCATCAGCACACGTGTGTGGGAAGTGTCTGCAGGATGAAGCTGCTGCAACGACTGCTGTCGTTGGGAGGACTTCAAAGCTGGAACGAGAGATGCATCACCTTGCTGCTGTGAGTTCTCTTCAAACGACTCTTAAATCCAGAATTGTTTCGAGGTTTTGAGCTATTTTTCATTACAAATTTACAAGATATATCACTTTGGTACGTAAGCTCTAAGTCGTGGCCAATTCTTTATGTGAACTGTTATTTTGTGGTCATCCAAGTACAAAGACTTGTATATATCGATCATTCTGCCTAAGGACCGGTGGACTGGACATTGCATAACTAGTCTTCATATATGTTTCTATTTTGGAAATGGCGTCGGCTACGGTCGATCATGTACAGTGTCTATCAACCCTAATAGGGATGCTCCATATAGAGAAACCTTGTGGACCAAGATAAATAATAATAAGCGTTCATGTACTGCCAGTGAGAAACTATTAAGGATCAGATTTGCTTTCTTGCGTGTTTTCGCTTTAAATTCAAGTTACTTGTATCTGAAGTTACAGATCAAAGTAATGACTACTACTAGGTTGGTTTATCATCGATGCAGATATGCCGGCATTGTGGCGGAGGGGATTGGGTAGTGGAGACCGGGGTTAAGTGCACATCTCTGGCGTGTTCTGTGTTCTACGAGAGGAGGAAAGTTCAGAAGGAGCTTATGGGACTCTCCGCCATTGCAGCAGAGAAAGGTCTGTATCCCAAGTGTATGGTTGAGTGGTTTTGACAACACAACACAACACAACACTCTGAAAGAATCATATGTTTGGTTCCCGAAGGGTAGATGTAAATGCTATGCAAAAGTGAAAGTCTAGTTACAAGTGATGACTACATGTAAAGATTATTATGTTATGAAAAAGAAAGAAAGAAGGAAAAAAACATTGTACATCTCTGTAAGGAAATACGTTCGTGAATGGGAAGCATACTTCCATTCACGCTAGAAATTGTTGGACTTCACCAGTGCAATTCGATTTATTTGGTATATATTGGACTTCCCGGCTTGTGATGATTGTGAGTTGTGATTCTATTCGTCTCGATTGATACAACCCTAATACTCGAAAGCTATATACGTTGAACTAACTAGGGATGGTTTTCATTTTCTATCTGTAAGGGCTTATCGGAAAGAAGGCCTGGACTCATATAATCCTTTTGGGCTGGCCCAAAGTAACTGGACTTGGTCTGATGCTTTCCTCTGCAACTTTCCGTTTAGTAATCTCCGAAGTAAGCTCCGGCGAAAAAAGAAAGTATACTATTCTATTCTTCGAAGTTGGACTGTTGGAGCCGTCTGAACTTCACGCCGTGAATTCAGAACTGGGAGGCACTCTGAAAACTCCATTGTCTCTCTACCTGCGAAGAACTATTATACCCAAATTAAATTATAGCCTTTCTCCTTTCCTCCGCCGTGCCGTTCTCCCGGGCAAAAATAATGGCGAGAACCCAAGTTCGCCTCCTCTTATGGAGGCGCCTTAAACCCTACAGCTTCGCCCGCCTCTCTTCCTCGCCTTCCACCCTTATACCCTATTCCACTTCTTCTGCCGCCGCCTCCTCTCCGGACCCTCCAAAACCCTCTTCCCTTTCCGCCCGCATGAGCTTCGTCTTCGATCAAATCGACGCCATTGAGCGCGAACGCTCCGAGAAGCACGAAACTCTGCAAAAGATTCGAGCTTGGCGCCAATCCAAAACTGACAACCAGCAGCTGCAGAATCAGGAACGGAGAGAAGAGCCTAGTTCCCGGAAGCCTGAAGTGGTAGTAACGACTTTTAGCTCCTCGCGGGATGAAGAATCCGATGCTGGGTACGGTTTTGATGGGAGCAGTTCCGGGTCGGGTGTTGAGCTGGGGAAGGCGAGGAGGCAAGTGGAGCTTGTTCATCCCTGGCCGGAATGGATAGAGTTGATGGAGAGACTGGTTCAGCAGAATTACTTCGATCATAAGAGAAGTAAAGAAGAGGACCAGATGGTTGAGAGTTTGGGGATTGATGATGGGTTTGAAGATGTGAATGCAGCTGTTGAGAAAAATCAGATAGGAGTTGATTTCGCTAAAGATTTTAGGACCGTGCAGAATGCTTTTGTCAATTTTGGCAAAGACAGATTCGATATCTTGAGGTTAGTTTCTGCTCCATTTTGTTGTTTTGGTTTCAGTCTGGTGACGTTTTTCCTTACCATTGATTATATCCACATAGATGATTATGATGATTTAGGAAGCGGATATGCTTAGGGCTGTAATTAGGAATGACAGTGGGGCTAAACAGGGTGCTGTTGAGTAGGTCAATACTGGTTCCGCCGCTCATTTTGTTTGGAAGCATGAGTCTGGCGGCAGGTCGATCTGTTTGCGACTAGTCATTCTGAGAAAAATATACACAGCGATTCGATTTCGTAAACACTTTCTAAACAAACAAGAAAAAAGAGGAGAGAATGACAAAGGCTAATGAAGCCAAACTATTTGAAACATTGAGGCTTGCTCTCAGTAGTATTATAGAGAATTAAGATGGGATGAATGTTTAGAAAGAAGAGCGATGGGATGGAGCAGTGCAGAAGAAAGACCTTCACGACCCGTCTTGTGGTGCTCTCAGTTCAGGACATTGCTGCGACAAGAGTGTTCAATCGAAATCGTCATCCCATTATCCTAAACGAGTAGCTACAGCTTATTGTGTTGTCTGAAATATTGTCTATCATAGCACAATCTGAAGAAGAGTTGTTATATCAGTCTCATTTGGTTTGGACTATGATTGTATATTGATTAATCTTTAGGTCATTGCCGAGAAAGGATCTCCAGCTCTTGGTTGGCTATGGATGCCCAACTGCAGACAGAAGGGTTGTTATGTCTGCCAAACTCCTGAGGAAGCGTGTCCACCTCGATGAAGGCGATGTGAGTTAGTCACTTGTGAATATATAGATTTACCTGTAATTAGTTTTTGAGGAGGAGAAGAGAAAAATGTTTGGTTTCAAGGCACAAGTTAAAAAGTTTGAACTTTTCATATGTGCATCAGGTTTGTAGTAGCTGCAGCTTGAGGAGCTCGTGTGAGAAAGCATTTCTGCTGACAAATAAAGAGGAGGAAGCGCATACCATCGATGCAATGCGGGTTCTCTTAGCTTACGGATTCGATCCGACAAATGGATCAGTCACCAATAAGTCGATTCTGAAAGAAAAATCGGTCAAAACTGTGGTCCGGAAGCTACTTCACGAGATTGTAAAGCTGAGTGCTGTGCCTATCGATCCGAATCTCCCTCCTCCTGTGATCAAGAAACCTCCTCCAAAGGTGAAGCAGCCTCCGCCGCCGCCGAAGAAACGAGTTGGACGTGATGATATCGAGATGAAAAAAGGCGATTGGCTTTGCCCTAAGTATGTCACTATTTTATGATATTATGATCAAGTCATGTACAGATAGATGTGGTTTCCAATTTCGCTTTTCCTTGCTGCTGATAATGCTGGATATGTGGTTTTCTTTGTTTCTGCAGGTGTGACTTCATGAATTTCGCAAAGAACACGGCATGTTTACAGTGTGATGCCAAGAGGCCAAAGAGACAGTTGCTTCCAGGAGAATGGGAATGCGCTCAGTAAGTTTTCTATCTCCATTGCTCAGATTTAGGGTGTGTTCTGTTCAGGTTTTATATAAATTTGAGGAAATAAAATCAAGTTCTAGTAAAACTGTAAAAGGAAAGATAATTAATGGGGCAATAGTCATGTGACTTTTAGCTATTACGAGTCTGTAGTTCACCATGATAGTTTAAAAGGTTTTAGTGAAGAAGAGTGTTTTAGTTTTTTCTTAGCTGAAACATAGCATACTGCTAATCTTTGTCTCGTCATGCTTTATTATGCTAACTGGTGATTCTCTTTCTGTTTCGTTCATGGCAGGTGTAACTTCTTAAACTATAGGAGAAACATGGTATGCTTTCATTGTGATTGCAAGCGGCCACATGATGATTTCTTGGAGAATAGAATGGAGGAAAGGAATCGTGACCAAAAACCAAGGTTCGAGAAGGTTGCAACCCGTCCTGAAGTGTCAAATGCCTGGAACTTCGATTTTGATGACGACGAGTCAGATGGTGCAGATGTTGCTGCCTTTGAGAATGCAGACTCAGCATTGAAAGATCATGAACCTCCTATGTCTGCTGCTCCAGCTCAGGGAGGAAACTTCAGAGACCGTGAAATGGGTACCAGAAATCCAAGCAAGTATTCAGATTCACAACCGAGTAGATCCGGAACAGGGTTTGACGATTTTGACGATGAAGATGATATCGAGAGCTATGAGTTGGATACCAACCCCACTCGGGCAACTCATAGCAATGCTTCCAGACGACCTTATGAGTCTGAAGACATTGACCTTTCGGATGATGACTTGGATTCTCGACCTCATTCTAGACCATTGAGGGATTCGAGACCCACCAAGCCGGTAAGAAGGAAACCTTTCGCTGATGATGATGAGCTAGGATTTGACTCAGATGAAGAGCTTTCATCTCATTCGAAATGGAAATCCAGTCACGTTGCGTCTGGACACAAAAATCGAGGTAGGAGTCCAGCTAAAAAACTGAGTTTTGGCTCGGATGATGATGACCTTGATCTTGACTCTGATGATGACTCTGACGAGGAATTTGGCGGCCGAAAGATGAGAACAAAGGGACGGAACTCCACTAGAGGTGGATTTCAGAGACGAGGTGACGATGATGATGACTACACAGGCGGCAGAGGTGGAAGATCAAAGCGGATGGGTGGCGGGAGAAGGGAGTCGTCATGGGATGATGACTTTGATCAACCTAGATCATCATCGTTCCATGGCTCACGTGGTAGAGCAAGAGGAAATGGAGGTGGGTGGAGGAAGAGTGATGGAGGTAGAGGTAGAGGTAGAGGTGGAGGTGGAGGTGAGGATTTTGGCAGAGGTAGAGGGGCAAGACAAGGAGGAAACCGGAGTTTCCAGCAGTCGAGATCTGGTGACTATGGGATGATGGATAAAGGTTCGATGGACGATGGTGAGTATAGAAACAAAAGAAGGGTAATTGAAAGGTGAGTAATAGCAAAGGCCTCTGCTCAAACCCACAACGAAGGAGATAAGTAAGCTATTTCTGTATCCTGATTATGGTCCGTCATTGAAACTTTGACGGAAGAATGGCCATCTGTTGCCACAGACGGAACAATGGCCGTCTATTTCCACAAACCGACGAGGTGAAAGCTGTAGCTTAGCTGATGCCATGGTTTTAGAAGCTTACTTACTTTGGCAACAGCTTCAGTCACTGGCCTTTTTCCCTCTTCTGCTGGTGGAGAATGGCCCTCCTCCAGGCCAGAGGCTGAGGTTGTTGTGCATGTAAAATACTAAAGTGATGTTTATTATTTAAACAGCTGGGGCTTTATATGCCAAAAGAGGATAAATAAGTAGCAAGAGTAATTGTGTAATTGATAAAAGAAGCATTCTAGCTTTGGTGAATGTATTTACAACTGCTAGTTAATCTTTACTAGTTTAATCAAATTTCTGTCTTATAGATTACTACGACGTGAAGGTAAACTAATTTCCCAATTCCCATGTTATAGAGAACAGAGCATGGCTTTTTGGCCTTTGATTCTGGAGATGCAGAGTAAGGTATGGGATTTCCCCCCTAATGAAACACCATGTCAGAAGTATCCCTTAACTGAGGAAATGGATGATCTGCTCGTGCAGTAATGGCTGTTTAGCGATTCTGGATTGAGCTGGAACATTTTGTATCCTGAAAATTCAGTTACCCTGCAAGTCTGCAGAATAACAACCATTTCTTCACCTGCCAATGCCCAATAGTAGTAGTTGTCTTGCTTGCTATGTTGGTATTTTGTTTTGCATCTTTCATCATCTCGCTGGGGTTAAAATAAAATAAAAATCGTGGAGAAACTTACAGATATGGGTTACCATTTATTAAGCTCAAATAGACCTTTTTGTTCATCTTTGGTTTTGCATTCTTAATTATCTCTAACATAAAAGCTATAAAGAAATCTCTCACTTCTCATTAATAGGGTGGAAGTGGCATAAGAAACAAAGCCAAATGTTAGGTTCTTCCGCCTGCAAAACATAGGTACACAAAAAAACAGAGCAGCGCCAAAGAAAACTGAGGATTTAGGAAAAATTAGCAGAGAAGGCAGATAAATGGCAGGGCAGGGGTTGGAAATTTTGAATCGCTAAATGTCGCTCTAAGAATTGCTAAACATCGCCCTAACTAAAATATAAAATTACCTATATGCCCTTAAGCAAAAACTCAAAACAAACAAGCCCCTATTTCAAATTCAAATTCATTCTCCCTCCCCCCTCAACTCCTCTCTCACCCTTTGTAAAAAAAAAAAAAAAAAAAAACTCCTCTCTCACCTCTGCAACAAATCCCGTCGGCGATATTTGCCCCTGCCGCCGGCCCGCCGGCCCCCGTCGCCAGCAAGCCGCCGCCCGCCGCCCGCCCGCGCTTCGCCGCCGTGCCAGCCTCGCCGCCGGAGAAGAAGGTGAGATGGAATCGCCGGCTGACCGCGGTCTGACTAGAGGCGAACGACGGTCAACGCGGGGTTGGACCGACGGTCAACCGCGGTCAACGCGCGGTCCGACCAGCGGCTGACCGCGGTCAAAGCGCGGTTTGACCATTTGCGGTCCAGCCATGGTCCAACCGCAGGTCAATTGCGGTCCACCCATGGTACAACCGCAAATCACCCGCGGTTCTCATTTTCTGTGTTTTTTTTTTCAGTTCATGTTTTTACCTCGTCGGAGTCGCTACTCATGATTTAGACGTCCTACTGACAATATCGGCTTCAAAATGACGATGAGAGATTTTTCTCTCCTTAGATAGTTTTTTTTTAGTTCAAGTGATGTTTGTTTGAGTAAGGGAAGGTAAAGAAGCTAAGGGGGTTAAAAGTGTAACTTTGATTCTTTTTAGGGCGATCTTTAGCAATTTTAAGGGCGACCTTTAGCAACTTCCAAACCAAAGAAACAACGAATGCTTCTAAAGCGATAAAGAACAAAAAGAAAGCGAAAGATATCCAGGGATGAATCTGAGCGAGGATGCAGATCTGAAATGGCAGAGATGAGAGGGCGATGAGCTGAGGATTGCATTGCATTGCATGGTCGCTCTTTTGGAAAAGGCATTACAATTTACATCACTCTCAACATAAGCGCAATAAAAGTGGAGGTGGCTCCCACATTAGCCGACCGTTACTACCCTATCTTCGTCTCTTCTCCCTTTTCCCACTCTCCCAAACAAAATTCAAATTCTAACCGTTGCCCTCTCCCTTTCCCTCTCTGTTAAAGTTGACAACTTAGGAAGCCTTTGGATTCGATTCTCTATCGCTCCTTCCCTCTCTCTCTCTCTCTCTCTCTCTCTCTCTCTCTCTCTTAGCAGCGAAACCCAAAGGAAAGAAAATGGTGCTGAAATCATCGGCGGGAGACTCTCCTTCTTCACCGGTCACGATCACCGTCTCCTCCGGCGGAAGAAGAAGAAGCATGGGACTAACGAGCCCCATCTCGAGGCCTCCGATTTCCAACAATCCCAATTCCCCTCTCTCCAAGAATCGGAGATCTTCCATCAGCGGAGGAGGAGGCAGCCGGTACTGCTCAATCTCCGACGCCGGCGCCGGTGAAGAGCTCAATTCCGGTTTCGTAACTTACACGGTCCACATCCCTCCGACCCCCGACCACCAACCCATGGCAGCGTCCAGACCACCAGCCACGTCGAGGAATCGCGAGAGAAGCCCGACCGGAGCTTCATCTCCGGCACCATCTTCACCGGCGGGCTCAATTCCGTGACCAGGGGCCACGTCATCGACTTCTCCGCGCCGGACCCGCCGCCGTCGAAATCTGTGCTGGTCTGCTGGATGAGGGGGTGCGATGAGAAGGCCGTCACCAAGGGGAAGTGCGAGTGCGGGTTCAAGATCTGTCAAGACTGTTACTTGGACTGCGTGGGTTCTAATGGCGGCGGGAATTGTCCTGGGTGTAAAGACCCCTACAAGGATCTTGACGATTACGAGGAGAATGATTACAACTACTACGACGAAGAGGACGAGGAGGAAGATCAAGCTCTGCCGCTGCCCAAATTGGACAAAAGGCTTTCATTGGTGAAATCTACGAAGCGTATGAGCCACCCGCCTGAGTTCGATCACACCAGGTGGCTGTTCGAGGACCAAAGGGACTTATGGGTATGGTAATGCTGTGTGGCCTAAAGATGGGTATGGCGCCGGAGCTAATGGATTTGAGCATCCCCCAAATTTCGGTGAGAGGAGTAGCAGACCCTTGACCAGAAAAGTCTCTGTTTCTGCTGCAATTATCAGTCCTTACAGGTATGGTATCCTCGATTCACTCTCCCTCAACCGGAAATTTTGATTCAGGTTGCTAACTCTCGAATTAGGGTTTCATTATCTCGATTATGAGCTTTCCTTTCACTTCCTTCTCTCTGTTTGCTTTCAATTAACAAGTTCTTCCTATCTACAATTGCAGGCTGCTCATTGTGTTCCGCCTGGCAGCACTCGGGTTGTTCCTCACTTGGAGGATCCGGCACCCGAACCGCCACGCAATGTGGCTGTGGGCGATGTCAGTAACTTGCGAGCTCTGGTTTGCACTCTCATGGATTCTGGACCAGCTATACAAGCTTTGCCCAGTCAACAGAGTCACTGATCTCTCCGTTCTCAAAGAAAGGTTCGAGTCTCCGAATCTCAGGAACCCAAAAGGAAGGTCCGATCTCCCTGGAATCGACGTCTTCGTCTCCACAGCTGACCCTGAAAAGGAACCACCTTTAGTCACTTCAAACACAATCCTTTCAATTCTAGCAGTCGACTACCCAGTCGAGAAGCTGGCATGTTATCTCTCCGATGATGGTGATCCCTTTTAACCTTCGAAGCTCTAGCTGAGACTGCTAGCTTTGCCAGAACGTGGGTTCCATTCTGCAGAAAGCACAAGATCGAGCCGAGGAATCCTGAGGCTTACTTTGGGCAGAAGCGGGATTTCTTGAAGAACAAAGTGAGGCTCGATTTCGTACGGGAGAGGAGGAGGGTTGAAGAGGGAATATGATGAGTTTAAAGTGAGGATTAACTCCTTGCCTGAGTCGATTAGGAGGCGATCGGATGCCTATAATGCTCATGAGGAGTTGAGAGCCAAGAAGAAGCAAATGGAAACTGGGGGCGACAATCCAGCTGCTGATTCTGTGAAAGTGGCTAAGGCTACTTGGATGTCTGATGGGTCTCACTGGCCTGGAACTTGGGCTTCTGGAGAGGCTGACCATTCTAGAGGAGACCATGCTGGATCATTCAGGTAATGACAAGTTTATATGTTTCGATTAGACTGTTTGCTGATTTGTTCATCTTTCATACTGAAATGCTTGTGTCCTTTGCTTCTTTGATTGACACCAGGCAATGCTAGCTCCACCAAATGCAGAACCAGTTTTTGGGTCACAAGCAGATGGGGAGAACTTGATAGACACGACAGAGTTCGACATCAGATTGCCGATGCTGGTCTACGTCTCCCGCGAGAAGAGGCCCGGTTATGATCACAACAAGAAGGCAGGAGCTATGAATGCATTGGTGAGAACAAGTGCAATCATGTCCAATGGTCCATTCATCCTCAATCTCGACTGTGATCACTATGTTCACAACTCGTTAGACCCTAAGAGAAGGCATGTGCTTCATGCTTGATCGAGGTGGAGACAAGATATGCTATGTCCAGTTCCCGCAAAGGTTTGAAGGGATCGATCCCAGCGATCGATATGCAAATCACAACACCGTGTTCTTCGATGTCAGCATGAGAGCACTGGATGGGTTGCAAGGCCCGATGTATGTTGGAACAGGCTGCATTTTCAGGAGGACCGCTCTTTATGGCTTTTCTCCACCCAGGACTACTGAGCACCATGGATGGTTTGGGAGAAGGAAGATCAAGTTGTTATTAAGGAAACCCAAGTCTTTGAGGAAGAAGAAGAAAGATGAGGATGATGATGAGATTTCTCTGCAAATCAATGACGATGAGAATGATGATGGAGAGATTGAGTCATTGCTGTTGCCTAAAAGGTTTGGGAACTCTACATCACTGACTTCATCCATTCCAGTGGCTGAATACCAGGGGAGGCTGCTTCAGGAATTGCAAGTGCATGGGAGACCAGCCGGTTCACTTGCTGTCCCAAGGGAGCCACTGGATGCTGCGACTGTTGCAGAAGCAATCAGTGTGATCTCGTGTTTCTACGAGGATAAGACTGAATGGGGAAAAAGAGTCGGCTGGATCTATGGCTCGGTGACAGAAGATGTGGTGACTGGTTACAGAATGCACAATAGAGGGTGGAGGTCGATTTACTGTGTGACCAAAAGGGATGCATTTAGAGGCACAGCTCCAATCAACTTGACAGACAGGCTGCATCAGGTTCTTCGATGGGCAACCGGTTCGGTCGAAATTTTCTTCTCGAGGAACAATGCATTGTTTGCTTCACACAGGATGAAGTTCCTCCAGAGGGTTGCTTACTTCAATGCTGGAATGTACCCTTTCACGTCATTCTTCCTAATAATCTACTGTGTTCTGCCAGCATTGTCACTCTTCTCAGGCCAGTTCATAGTGGCTTCCTTGAATGTCACATTCTTAATCTACTTACTAGCAATCACACTCACATTGTGCATGCTGGCACTCTTGGAGATCAAGTGGTCGGGGATAACACTCCATGACTGGTGGAGGAACGAGCAGTTTTGGCTGATCGGAGGAACGAGTGCTCATCCTGCAGCAGTTTTGCAAGGTTTATTGAAGGTGATTGCAGGTGTGGACATATCATTCACATTGACATCCAAATCTTCAGCTGCTGAAGAAGGTGGGGAAGATGAGTTTGCTGACCTGTATGAGGTGAAATGGAGCTTTCTGATGGTGCCTCCAATTACTATCATGATGTTGAACATGATTGCGATTGCAGTTGGGGTAGCCAGGACTCTGTACAGTCCGTTCCCACAGTGGAGCAGGCTGGTTGGTGGAGTGTTCTTCAGCTTCTGGGTTTTGTCGCATCTCTACCCTTTTGCCAAAGGGTTGATGGGGAGAAGGGGTAAAGTTCCAACCATCATCTATGTTTGGTCTGGCTTGCTGTCTATCATCATCTCCTTGTTGTGGGTTTATATCAGTCCTCCCTCTGGTGGTGCTCACCAGGATTTTGATAGTTCCTCGTTCCAGTTCCCTTGATCTGTTAAAACAAGAGAACTAGAATGTGGAAAGTAGATAACAGTTTGGAGTAAGAGCAAGGGGAAAACAGCTCTCTGCAAGGGGAAAACACGAAGCATCTGATTTCATTTCATTTTCCACCTATTGTATCCAGCCAGTTCTTTTCGATGACCTAAATTGATATTCAATAGTAATGAAAATTTAGATTGTCATTGTGTACAAGTTTTTTGCTTTCTGTCTTGTTTGTGCAAAGTTCTAGTGTTGCTTGATATGCAGCTTTATGGCTTCATCTTCCAGATTCACGCTATCACTAGCCTCAATGGCAAGTTCTACGTTCTCACAGGGAGCTGGTGAATGACTTCTACCCAGTGACAAATTAAGATACCATCTTTTCATTTTTTTTTATAATGGCAGATACCATCTTTAAATTTAAAACCTGCAGTCATGCATTGCTCCAAACATGGATGGCTGCTCGAGTCAATAGGAAAGTTGGGGTAAGCAAGTACTCTTCTTCAACCCTTCACTAAATAAACGATTGATCCCCAGACTCTATGTATATGGCCGAGTGGGGATCACATTTACTTCTCCAACATCCTCCGATGGCATAGTTTTTGGCTACTCGGTCTCTCCACTAGAAGTGAGACTCAAGTCCATCTACTTTAGTAATCCAGGTGGAGAGCTCCACTGTGCAGACTCAAGTTCATCTGCATAGTTTATGGGAAAGACAGGACGTGGAACCACCAACCAAGTTTATGAACTTGCCAAGTAAGCCTTGTAATTCAATTCGAAGAAGCTGTCTATTAGAGTGCAACAACAAACTTCTATCAGTGTTCACAGGGGGCACACAGGGAGATTTCTACAAGTATATGAAACCAAGAGACCATGGCTTGGAAAAAACTCAAGAGTCTGGGAGACACCATGCTGTTTTTGAGTTCTGCTTCTTTGTTATCAGCAACAAGTAATGGAGTAGAGATTTATTTCCGGCTTGGGAAATAAGGTGTTTCTGAACAGGTTTAACCGGAAGGATTGCATGTTCTAATCTCTAAACAACAAGAAAGTTCCACATCTTTTGACGTGACACCAAGTAATACATGAACTGTGCTTGGATCGTACCAAACTTCAAGGCACAAAAGGAAGAGAAGCTCCGGTGGTATGATCCTGAAGTTCGAGTCGAAGAAACATAAGAATGAGGGCTTGTAAACTCTTTATCGTTGACATGTACAAGGTGCAGCATCTCTCTCTCTCTCTCTCCCTCTCTCTCTCTCTCGATTTGTTCAATTTCTAGTTTTTCATCTGCATTCTGTCCTCTAGGTTAGGTCACATTGGCATCCTCAACTCAACAGTCAAAAGCTGGATTAGACACGCGCCATAAATATTTCACTAAGAATACTCAATAGTCAGAAGCTACTGCCAATGCATAATATTCAGCCTCGTCCATTTCCGATAGCAAAAATATGCCCTTCAAAGCTTTACAAATTCTATCAAACTGTAAATGAGAAACGTCCCCAGCCAAGAATTCATGAAACTTACCCTCAACATCTACCAAGCTTCGACCAGGAGTTTTCTTAACACCCTTCTCCCTCATCATGCTTCTTACCATCCTCACGTCACCCCATCTCTTATTCCCGGCACAAACAGTAGCCAACAGAACATATGTGCCGCTATCTTCAGGATCAAGCTCCAAAAGCTTATTGGCAGCAAGCTTCGCGAGTTCAACATTCCCATGCATCCTGGAAGCATTCAGGAGGGCTCCCCAAGCAGCTTGGCTTGGTTCCATTGGCATCCCACTGATCATCTTGAATGCATCTTCTAGTTGCCCGACCCTGCCAAGCAAATCAACCATACACGCATAGTGTTCCCTCGTTGGCTCAATGCCAAAATCATTCTTCATGTTGTGGAAATACTTGTGGCCCTCTGCCACTAATCCGCCATGACTGCAGGCTGATAAGACGCCAACAAAAGTAATCCTGTCAGGCTTGAAATTGGCGAGTAGCATTTGGTGGAAGATACTGAGAGCTTGGTTGGGGTTTCCATGAGCAGCATATGCTGCAATTATTGAATTCCAAGAAACCAAGTCTCTTTTAGGCATCTTGTGGAAAATGTTTGCAGCGGAATCTATTAGCCCGCATTTAGCATACATGTCAATAAATGCATTTGATATGATCAGAGTGTTCTTAATTTGTTGGTTGTCAATGTAGTGGAGATAAATCCACTGACCCAATTCCACAGAACCTAGCTGACCACAGGCAGATAGGACACAAACCAATGTGTCCTCCATTGGAGCTAGCCCAGCTTCTATCATGCGGTGAAACAATTCTATAGCCTCCTTTGGTCGATCCTTCTGAGAGTACCCGGCAATCAAAGCATTCCAAGAAACTGTATTCCTGTCAGGCATGTCACCAAACAACTTTCTCGCCAACTCTAGCTCACCAGCTTTGGCATATCCATTAACCATGCTAGTCCAAGAGAACACATCCCTAACTTCCATTTTGTCAAAAATCTCCTCGGCAGCACCCAAGCAACCACATTTTATGTACATATCCAGAATTGCATTCATCAAATTCAGCGTAAAGTCCATGCTTTTGCTCCTAATGCATTCATGAACATCCTTACCCATTTCTAAATCCCCATTTTGTGAGCAAGCGGAAAGAACTGCAATCATTGTTACCTCATTCGGCTCAACATCGGAAGACAGCATATACTTGAAAAGCTTCATCGCATCATCGCATCGATTATTACTTGAATACTCATCTATCATGGACGTCCAGGAAACAGCATCCTTCACAGGCATTTCATCAAACAGCTTACCTGCTAACTCAACTCGCCCATGACCACCATAAAAATGAATCAGCACGTTCGAAACCAACAAAGACCCACGAAACCCAGTCTTCCAAGTAATCCCATGAACACATTCCCCTTTAAACGCCGTCGAGAACTGCTCGCATACCTTCAGCGAGAAGACGAAGCTCCTTGCGTCCATCTCCGCCCTCTCCCTAACCATCCGCCGAAACAGCGAAAACCCAACTCGTGGCTGTTTAGCTTTACCCCACCCTCTAATCATGGTATTCCACATGTAATTATTAGGTTTCTGAATCCTTGCAAACAGAGCAGCTGCATGACAGATGTCTCCGCCGTCGGCGAGAGCGCAGAAAGCCAATGCACGGCTGGCGGGGAAAGTACGAGTGATGAGACTGGTGGTGGTCAGGTGGGCTTGGATTTGCTTCAGTTGGAGCATGGAATTGCAGGAATCCAGCATGAGAAGCAGAGCCGGTTGATTGATGATGCCGTGGGTAGTGGAGTTCCATTTTGTCGCCGCTGCCGATGAGGTGGAAAATCGGTTGAGCGATCGGAATCTGGAGTAGGCAATGATCCTTCCTCGCCGGTTGCTGAAAATCGGAGCCGGAGAAAGAGGAGAATCGAGCAGCGAGGACGAGACTGAGATGGCTGGAGAAGATCGAAATGGTTTCATATGAAAAAGAAGAAGGGACAATGGCGGGGTTTGGGCGCCCGGAAAGCATAAAAACGGAGAAAGATAACTGCTATACGTTACTTTGGGCTTGGGCCTCGGGGCTCATTTCGAATTCGATTGACCCACGACACTGATTGGGCTGCTCTATGGCTGGGCCTCCTCCAACAAGGACACTGAAACTTGATTATCCTCAATCCTTAGACAAGTCGGAAACAAAATCCAATTCCTCTTAGAAAAAATAAGACATGAAAAGTTATATAAAGCTTAGAGAAGCCTCAGCCCTCAACTCTACTCAATCAGGCATTACCGATTGCTCCCAACAGTTAAAAAGAAAAGAAAAAAATACTCAGTAAGAAACATGGCTCTCCGACTAGAACCATGGCTGCTGTATAGCCACGGTAAAAAGAAGAGGTCAAAAACCTTTTACAGCTTGTCGGAGGGTAACTACCACGTCAGCGACGTCCGGGAGATGCGACACCGTATGATCTACGCCCATTCCCACGGCTGGCTGGTCCTTGTTCACCAAGGTGAATGCTGGCTGTACAACCCTTCCACCACGGATCAAATCCAGCTGCCCAACTTTCCCAAAGGTCACTGCGCCCACCACTTCTCCAACTGCGCCCTCTCAGTCTCCTCCTCTGACCCTAAACTGGAGGGGAGCATGGTAATGTTCATCCACCAGTACTCCGACGAGCCGCGGTTTCTTTACTGTAAGCCCGGGGATGTGCATTGGACGGTTGCTACCGTGGAGGGAAATTGCGGTCATCGAATCTACGGTTATCGAGCCATTGCTAGTCTTGGTGACGAGTTCTATGTCCGTACAGTTTGCTGTGAGAGCTTATTGAAGCTCCAGTTCAATCAATTCGACGACGACGACAAGGTGGTTGATGATGCGTTGATCAGCAAAATACGGTACACGATGTTTTTTTTTTCCTGATAAAAATTATTAAGTTAAGCATTATTCTAGCAATGTGTTTTAAGCTTTGACTTGCTAACCTTGTGCTTATGAATTATGATGATCAGGTTACTTGATACCAAAGTAAGAAGACCCAACTTTCCACGGACTTACTACCTGAGGGGAAGTGCAGACAGCACAAGCTTCTTGGCTCAGCTGCCCTCGCGGCCTAACGAGCTGATGATCGTTGAAGTCAATTACGGAGATCACATTGTGGATGACGATAGCATCAAGGATATCGGTTTTAAGGGCGTCGAGTTGTACATGGCCAATTTCGAACAAGGGAGGTGGGAGGATTTGGGAGACTTGCCTGACGATTGTGCCATCTTCCTAGGCTCCCATCCGGACAACATCCTCGTGTACAACATTCCGAAAGATGCAGGAATTTTTCGCGGGAACACGGTTTACTTCACCCAGTACAGAGACGGCGATCATCTCTACGCGTATGATGTCCGAGAGAAGAGTATCAGCGTCTCCAGGTTACATTGCACAAACACCAAACACTGTTCGCCAGAACCGCAGTGGATTCTGCGTCTGTGCCGCGGCATCAAAACACCAACCGAGAAGAAGAAGAAGGAGATTATATCATCATTGGCT